TCTTATTTTGTTTTTGTCGCAAGCTAGAACCCCATGTTTATCCAATTGAGTGTAATTAAACGTGTTAGGTATATATTACAAATTTAATCTTAAATTTCAAAGATAGTGTAAAGTTTTCATAGCTTTTTGGCTAGTTTGTTAGCTTAGTATAAATCCTACCCTGTTCATCTTTTGTCAGCTGGGAACCAATTTGGTGGATACAAAATAATCATAGCCCTGAGCCATTGTCTCAGACTAGAATAGCTAAACAAAAGGCCAGAGATAATTCTTAGTGCAGCAGCAAAGAAGTCTAAATATACTGGCTTATTTTTTGCATCATGGTTGGACATTATTATCTTTTGTGAAACATGAACAGTGTTTTTACTGGATGCCACAACAACTGTATTTTTGACATTTGATCTAACTTGTATTTTTCTTTTTCTTTCCAGCTAAGAACCACATGGAGTTCTGCTGCCATATGCTGCGAGGGGCCATTGACCCCAAAGAACCCCCTGTCTACGAATATGTTAAATTCATTGGCAACTTCAAGTCACTCAACAATGGTATGTCACTGAAAATTGGACAATGCACATATATTTCAGTGTCATCAGTCACACAAGGAGCCACACAGAACCACACTGTATATTCTTTGACTCAGAGTAAACCACCTTTTCAATTCTCTGTGTTGTGTAGTTCCCAACATGACGAGGAACGGGCTAGCAGGAGTGTTACAGCGGTCACTACAGCCTGCGTTCGACGACCAGGTGTGCTTTGTAGCCACTGTTCGACTGGCCAAACCACAATTTATTAAGGTATTTTCAGACACTAACACACAAAATCCTGCGGAGTCAATTATTACTAATTTTATCTAATACCACTTCTCTCTTCTGTTGTTTTTGTTTTTATATTCACAGGAGATGTGTACAGTGGAGGAGCCAAATGAAGAATTCACTTCTAGGCACAGTCTAGAATGGAAGTTCCTCTTTTTAGACCACAGGTAAACACACAAACCTAATTGTTAATTCCTCCTTACGCTGCCAGTATACACTGTCAGAGCTTGTAGGGTGGTCAAATAGCTTCAGAACCTCTTTTTTTTATGTCTGATGCAATTTCTCCTTTTCAGAGCTCCACCAATCATCGGCTACCTGCCTTTCGAGGTTCTGGGGACATCAGGGTACGACTACTACCACGTGGACGACCTGGAGACACTCGCCAAGTGTCACGAACACTGTGAGGGCTCGCATTTAAACACTGTCAGTTCAGATGTAAAAGCCTTTCTTGTTGTTTCTAACATCTCTGCTCTTGTCTGCATCTGTCTCTCTCGTGCACAGTGATGCAGTATGGTAAAGGGAAGTCTTGCTACTACCGTTTCCTGACTAAAGGTCAACAGTGGATCTGGCTTCAGACGCACTACTACATCACCTATCACCAGTGGAACTCTAGGCCTGAATTTATTGTCTGCACGCACACAGTAGTCAGGTACTGCAGCTCATCTTCCTTTTTCTGTGTAGCCTTTACTGATGCTACATTTATCCGATTTTTTTTTTGCTCTGATCATCATTTACAGACCATTGTAAAAGTCTCATATTCACTTCTATGATCTTTTTACTGATGGCTCAGCCTTTCTACACTGTCTTCACATCTCTAATGCACATCACATTCGCACTTCTTCACCAGCTGTCCTTAAAACCTCCCTTTTTTTGTTTAAAATGCAGCTATGCAGAGGTGAGGGCAGAGCAGCGCAGGGAATTGGGCATTGAGGAGTCCAACCCAGACGTTACAGCAGATAAGGTGAGAACTATGAATGGTATATGCTCATCTGTTTTCATAAATGCATGATTCCAATAATGAAAGAAATCACAATATGTCAAGTATGGAGGAGGAATTAGTTTTAGATTTGTTGTTTAAGCCTGAGTAAGAGACAAAACTTAACTATCACTAGTGTAATTGAACTTGGATTAACTGATTGACTGAAATACTACAATGTATTAAACTTCTAAAAATAACATATTCAGTCTCATTAAGAGCCAGTCTATTAACATTTCCCTCACTGTGAGAGACATATTTCTGACAATGTGACTGTTGTTCTCTGATGTTATATCAATCCCTTAGGTCAGTGAACTTATATAATAACACACTATAATTCAGTTATATTTGTTTATATTTCAGTTATAAATTACCATTTTGGGCTTTCAATGTAGTAGCTATTAGTATGTATTGGTTGGATAGCAGGTTAAAGCACTGCTTTTTTACTGTATATTGTTGTTGGTCCAAAATCAGATTTTATGGGTTTTATCATTTTATTGCATTTATCAGCCCTGTCATTTTCACTTGTATGCACTCTGCCTTTAATTTTTCAAGGACTGGCTGTCAAGTGTATTTTTCTTCTCTGTTTTTGTGTTTTTAGAGTCAGGACTCAGAATCAGAATCACAGCTGAACACGTCCAGCCTCAAGGAGGCTCTGGAGCGATTTGACCGCAGCCGAACACCCTCAACCTCCTCACGCAGCTCCCGCAAGTCCTCATCCCATGTCTCTGACAACACTTGCACTTGTAAGGACACACTCATATGCATGCACATGCATAATGTTAATTAGAGTTATACCTTGACATAATCTATGATAATAAAGACGAGACCGTGACACATCACTTCTATAGTTTAATGGGATGAGGAAGCCCTGCAGTAAGATGATACAATATCGCCTGCAAGGTCTGAGTATGACTCTTGCTAATCAGGGATTCTGTCTCCACAGCAACAGCTTCGAAGCTACACATGGACACGGCCACCCCCCCTCGGCAGTCACTGGCCTCTACCATGGACATGACATCCCAGCGTCGCTCATCCATAAGCAGCCAGGTGAGACTTGATTGGCCAAAACACCAACACTTCCTGTTTTGACAGATTTTTATGACCTCAAGTAACAAATAGAGATGGAACTTTATTCACTCATTGCTGTTTTATAATGCAGTGTGGTTAAGGAAATGTTACAAAACAAATTCAGAAACTTCAGTTGTCATAATGTTTTGATTATCTGTATATTTGCAGTCTATGAGCTCTCAGACCACAGGCCAAAGTGTAACACCAAGTTTGATCGCTCAACAACAACAACAGCAGCAACGACAACAGCAGCAGCAGCAACAACAACAACAACAACAGCAGCAACAACAACAACAACAACAACAGCAGCAACAACAACAGCAGCAACAACAACAACAGCAGCAACAACAACAACAACAACAACAACAGCAGCAACAACAACAACAACAACAACAGCAGCAGCAGCAGCAACAACAACAACAACAACAGCAACAACAACAACAACCACAGCAGCTACAGACAAACGTACAAGTGAGAATGGTGCTGCTACACTTGGGTCACTCAATCACATGATAATGTGTCTTGGAGTAGGAAAGAAAAACAATTTGCCATTCATTTTGACAGTAGATTAATTTATCATGTTTCCAGTAAAAATGCCAAAAAATCTGAAGGTATTAATTGCTCTTTTTTGGGGGGTAAACTGTATAGCTTTTAGGATTTGGACTATTGGTCGGATAAAAAAAAAAAAAAGACATTTGAAGACATCACATGATTTATTTATCTCTCTCCACCCACAGCCGGTGATGGAGTTCACGGCGCAGGTGAATGCTATGCAGCATCTAAAGGACCAGCTGGAACAGAGGACGAGATTGATCCAGGCCAATATCCAGCGGCAGCAGGACGAGTTGAGACACATCCAAGAGCAGCTGCAGAGAGTCCAGGGACAAGGCATACAGGTAAGATGTAGACTGACACATGATGGTTGTCAAGTTAGCAGATGTTTAGAGTGTAAAATGTATCATACAAATAGGTGTTGAATGTAGGTCAAGTTGCTCATTGTATATTTATTACTTACTTTACTGAAAGGGTTAATTTTGCTCACAAAATAATTGATTGCTTTTCAAAAGGTAGGTATGTACTTACCTTTGATGATGAAGAGCTTACCTGTAGCATTCAGGTTTCTCCACAGGATGTTTTCCAAATTTGGAAAACATCTCATTTGAACAAAACTAGCACGCAACCTTTTTTCAAAAGATCAGTAGGTGTTCTTTGTCTTTTCCTGTTGTTCTCTACGTGGCTTTGCCTGACCTAGATCAGATCTGGGATCATGCATTATGTATTATTTTTGTTCTATTCAGAGGAAATGGCAATTTCACAACCTGAATGTGTACCCTGTAAAGAGAATTGAGTCTCAGCAAATTATTCTTTTCTGCTGTTAGAATAAACACATAATAAATAGGGCAAATAAATATACAAAAATAACTGCATGCCGCGTAAACCTACACACAGACCACTGTGGCCTGACTTTTGGTGTTTCCATCCTGACAGATGTTGCTGCAGCAGCAGGGTGGAGCAATGAATGTGCAGCTCCCCCAGGTAGGGTCGGTCCAACAAGCAACTACTTTGACCAGTCAGGTCCAGCAAACAACAATTAACCCTGTCCATTCAGGAACTCAGCAGCTCACCATCCAGCAACAGGCACCACCCCCTCAACAGAACCTACAGCAGCAGACCAACGCCCTCACACAGGTGGGCACACACACACACACACACACACACACACACACACACACACACACACACACACACACACACACACACACACACACAGAGATCAGATCAGACCAAACCTTTTTTCCTTTAACCTCAGATAAACTCGCAGTAACTTAGGTACAGCAATAAGTATGTCCTGAATATTCAAGGTTTTCTGAGAACACTAATCTTGTTGAACTTTTGACACTGTTGGTCACATGTCTGTGGAGAATTTCACAAACGCAGTACTGTTCTGTGAAGTTGTAATGTTTACATCTCCTGCAAATGGCAGGAAGAGCCACAGGGTGTGCTGTTAGTGTTTAATCATGTGAGAACTGGTGCACTGTAAAACGCACAAACCATCTTATTTACCCCTTCATTTGGAATATTGCTCTATCCAACTTATCTTGTCATGTAGTAATAAAGTCCATTCAGAACAGGCAGGGCAACAACACATTTCACTTCATATTTGTATTTTCTTGTATCCAGAGCAATACTGTAACTAAATAATCTCTAAAAAGTCTTACCTTACAATATGGGGATTTTCACAAGTTCCAGTTTTAATTGGCTTTAATAGAACCTCCCAGCCCCCTACCTTTTTATGTAGACACCTTGCTACTGCAAATTAAAACGTGTCAATTGTGCTGGAGTTTCAGCTTCAATTTATTTTCTGTTTTTCTGTGTATTAACTCATTTGTGATCTATTGAATTTATTTTAAGCTCAAAGTTCAAATTAGACATATACCATTATGAAAACTGGAGAAAAAATTAATGTGATGTCCTTCTCCCCTTCACCCACATTGCATCTCTCTAGCCCCAACGCCAGCCCCAGCAACCTTCGCAGGCTCAACCCCAGACCCAGGGCTCTGTATCTGCTCCACTATACAACACTATGATGATTTCCCAGCCAGGGCAACCCAACGTGCTGCAGATCAGCACCAGCCTGCCGCAGAACAACACACAGCAAGGCACCGCCGTGGCCACCTTCACACAGGACCGACAGATCCGGTAAGTAGACAATACCCAAACATGATACTTTGAGAATTACTGCTCCTTAGTAAGCGCAATTTCCACCTGAAACTGAGCTGTTTAAGAAGATTTGAATAGTAGACATCCAGTATGATTCATGGTTGCTGTAATTTATTGTTTCTTCCCATTTATTTTCCCTTTTATCCATTTTGCTCTTTCCAGGTTCCCAGCAGGACAGCAGCTCAAGCTTGTGACTGCCCCAATGCCGTGTGGAGCAGTCATGGTGCCCACCTCCATGTTCATGGGACAGGTGGTCACTGCGTACAACCCCTTTGGTGGTCAACAGGTAAGGATAAAGCCTTATGAGTCAGAGAGCAACTAATGCCTAGATTGTAGCCCACTCAGCGTTAGTTTGTATAGATCACCGACAAAAGCCCCCAGATCAGAGGAATGGCGATGGGTCGTTGAGCCATACAACAAGCTACCGGCAATAAGAGCAGGTGGCGGCTGTCATCCACAGTAGCTCTATGAATCCAGTCTTATTATGCATCTGTTTGTATGGAGGGGCCACAATAATATATTTTCTATTAGAATACATTGGCATGCTTGCTGAACCACAATACGAGCAGGCAGCTATACGTTTTCAGTGCATCAAAATATTTAATTACCTCGACAGTTCTTGCATCCTGCGTATCCCGAACCATTCTCTCACCCCATTCTTCCAAGCCAATCCAAGTTCAATCAGTGTTTTTTAGTACAAGTCAGTGTATTTGCGGTGTCAGGGATTCCTCCTGGTGAAAGGTTTTGACCCCATGTCACTGATTAGTCATGTGGTGCACAAACAACGATTACAAGACAGAAGGTTGTATAGTGTGAAGAGTACAGCGACCTGACCACTTTGAAAGTCATGTAGTTTGACCAAGATGTAATGAAACTCTTCTCTAAGATCAGAAGAAAAGCAAGCATCCAAGCGACCATGTGTGAGGCACATAACCACCCAGCTGCCCAGTGCTGACAGAGTGTGCTTATAGTGTAATAGTGTTGTGAAAATGGAATAAAAAGGATGGCATTGTTGGGGAAAATTGGCTTGTTTCCTCAGCACATCTCTTTATACTATACAAATACAAAAAAACATTATTTTGTGTTTGACGCTGATATCTGGAAATGAAAATAAGATAATCGAAATTAAGTCTACGTGAAGAAAACAGCAGTATTTTTTCAAAGTCAAGCTCACAGAGAGCTTGACTCACAGCAGCTCACAGAGGGATTAAAATAAATCTCAAAATCGTTTTTGTTATTTGAATGTGTATAACTTTGGTTAAGTCCTTAAAGCCTGAAGATGACTCAAAGGACTACCAGGCCAAAAGACTGGTATATATTTAAAAAAAAACAAGTGCAGTGTTTCTACATTGACATTAACATTACATTCAATAGACTCATTTCATTTGTGTTTCCAAATACAAAAATATGTTGAAAAGTTGGATCATTTAAGAATTCATTCAGAGAGATCACAAGTTGTAGAGATGACGCTCGTAATAAGACTCAATGTGAGGGATCTCTCAAAGCAGTGAACGGCCTATCACTTATATGACTTTATCACTGTGTTGTTCTCTGTTAACTCCTGTTTCAATTCAGCAGGGAGGGCAAACCCAGACCCTGACTCTCCAACCAGCCCAGCCACCCCAAGGTCAGCCCGACGGCCAAAACCAGACAACTGTAGTGGCGCAGGGTGGCCAGCAGGGGCAACAGCAACAACAACAGTTCCTACAGGTATCAGTAGAGGGCAGCAAACATAATTTATATAAATAGACATTCTCAGAAAAGTTACTCGTATGTTTTATTTTGGTGAAAAGTTTTGTCTTCATCCTGCTGTGAGTAATTATGAGATTTTACTGTGAATAAATAGTGGTAACTGTTTCATATTCTAATATTCTTGCACTTTTTTCTATCAGGGCACTCGTCTTCTCCACAGTAACCAGTCTACCCAGCTGATTCTGCAGGCAGCTTTCCCTCTCCAGCAACAGGGCACCTTCACCCAGGCAACACACCAACAGCAACCACAGCAACAACAGCAGCAGCAGCAGCAGCAGCAACAACAGCAGCAACAGCAACAACGGCAACAGCAGCAACAACAATCTCACCACCAGAGGCACCAGCAGCAGCTGAAACCACAACCCCAGAAACAGCAGAAAGCCCCGTCATCGCACAGGACTGACAGTGTCAGCAGCCAACCTCAATAAAGCCCGGAGGAAAACGCGTGTTAAGTTAGAAAATCTGGGGACCTGAAACTCGTAAGAGATTGCTGCACACATTTGCTTTGGTCGTGTGGCCAACAAACAAACTTCATTTTCCGCAAAATCGTTGCCCTCCCTTCTTCCATCTGAAAGAAATAAATCATAGGAAAGAGGAAAGCCTGTGAGTCTGCAAGGGAACTCACCAAGGACTGTTGCCATGGCAACAGGATGGATTATAATCCCTTTTTCCCTCATCGGAGGCGGAATGGTGAGGGAGCTCTAGTCTCCGTGGAAACCCAACAAAAATCCAGAGAACACCTTATTGCCACGGTAATGACAGACTTTTTTTTGGAAGGTGTGTCACAGTGGACTGACCTTGTACAAATTTACTGTATGATAAAAAAAACTTGTAAATATCCTATATAGCCTAACAGGAAACAGAAATGTAGTATTTTATATGATTGCATGGAAAGAATAACTGTGTAAGCTTTTATTAGTCGCTTTTGAAAAATGACTTTTTACTTTGTTCAAGTGTTTTCTGGTCAAAGATGGAGCAGTGACGTGCTCTTCTCTCACTCAGAACCCCTTCTCTCCCTCCCCGTCTCTTAAAAAAAAACAAAAGTCCAGAATAAGGCTTTAAAGTTATGTCAGTTTGTTTAAAAAAAATGGTTGGGCTTGGGGTTTTTTTGTGGAAGTTGTGTTTTTAAACACTGTCTCTGAGACAAAAATGGCTGTTTTTAACTTTGTAAGTACACATTATGTTTGGCAAGAAACTAGATTACAGTTTAACTGAATTATTCGCAGGATGATCACTGTACATGTAACGGGTTTAGTGATTCCAAGTGCCAATAACATAGTCAATTATGTTTTTATTTCGAGCAGACTATTCAAAGGCGTATATATATTTTCCAACAAGATATTACCCCTAATAAAGTTAATGCGTGTGTATATAGTAGGGATTATTTTTTAACAGTCAGAGAGCCCTATACGTAACAAACAGTATATCCTCAACCTCCTGAAACTTTAGCACTTGATGTGGTTGTGTACAGTAAATCACTGTCAAGACCTAGTCGTTTGTAATCTGTGGTGTGATTCTGTGAGTGTGTGTGTGTGTGTGTGTGTGTGTGTGTGTGTGTGCGCTGTGTGTGCTTGTTGCCCCTTGTGTCTTACAATAATTGACTTAGTAAGGGTGAAGTTGAAGTTGCTGGATGGTACTTGTATTCTCAGGAATGTGGAAAGTTTTTTGCTTCTGCCTCAGTCTGGAACCAGACAAGGAAGGATTAGACAGTGATGCTGCAAAGACCAGAGCAAGAAGTGTCATGAAGGGTGTGGTGACTGAATCAAATTCGACCCAGATTTCCTTATTAATACAGTGTGATGGGAGAAGTCTACAAAGAGAGTAAACGTGCTATTCTTTTGTAAAGGGGAGGGGGGTTGTTGAGCTACGACAGAGTAGAAATTGAATTTTCAACTCTTCACCCAGACTTCATTATACCAGCGAACCTTCATTTCTACTAACGGTCTCATGGTCTTCTGTCTCACCAGTGTTTCATCCTTCTTTCTCTTCCTAGGCCTCAGAAACCCTCATGCAGTTCAGTTCACTCATTCACTCTCAGTTCTCAAACAGCAGTTAAAACCAGGGCTGTGCCCAAGGCCATTTCAGTTACAGATGGAAATGGGCTCAGCCCCTGTACTACAGTTGTAAGCCATATCAAACAGAAAAGCCTTGGAGTGGGGGAAGTGTAATGGTTGGCAAAGGAGCATTTAGAATGTGTTGTTCTGTCTCTGAGTGTAGTAAAGACTGTGTGTATGTGCATGCGCGTGTGTGTGTTTGTGTGTAGTTTTAACGTCTCCTCTTCTTGATACTACTTCTTGTATCACTCGGGGGTCAGTATTGGTTTCCCCTGGCGATAGCCAATCAGTTCTTGCGTTGCAGTATAAAGAAATAATTGTAATATTCAAGAAACTTCCTCTCCAGTTGGGCTCAGTATTCTGCAAAGCCCGTGTGTGGGACAGCTCAACTTGAATACGTGTTTGTGTGTGAGTGAGAGTTTGTGTGTATGTTAACCGTCACTGTAACCCATTATATTTTCATATGGAAACAGATGTGTGACTGAAAAAGAATAGATGTTAGGCAATGCAGAGCATTGGTCATGTGTCTGGCTATAAAGAATATGGGCAGTGTTATTGTTTACTGTGACAGACTGCTCAACAAACACTTATCACGGCAACTACACATCAGGCCAGTCCCAAATGGTAACCCTCTGAGATAAGGTTTTAATTTAGATTGGGAAATTTGTGTGACAAATCCTCTTCTTGTCTTTGTCCACAGATAGGGAATAGAACAGAATATTTACAGTGAGGGTGTTACTATTTGAACCAGGTCCTCTAACCCATCACATAGCAAATATAGAGCTATAGACTAGTTTGTGTTTAAGGCATCACTCTAAAGGGTAATGTTGAAATGTTTATAGTTTGTGTCACTGATACCCAGCCCAAAGAATGTAAAGGTGTTTTAAAGAGACTAATGGATGTTTGGATGTTGTAACTGTTGATTATGGAGAACCTTTTGACAGGCTTTGTGATGAAGGAAAATGTGGGGTGTGAACGAAAATCATGTCTCTCACTGCAAGGATCCACCTATAGAATCTGAAATACAATCTCATTTACAGGCTTTTGCATTGTAAAAGAACCTCTGAATGTTTCACCATGACAAACTTTACTGTTTCTGTTTGTACAACAATCATTTTCTGACAACATCTGGCTGGAGAAAAAAAAAAAAAGAGTTTTAAAAGCTGTTGAAAGGTTTAGGTGTAGGATATTTGAAATGGGATAGCCCCCGGCCCCCTCCACAGAGATACACAGATCACCTTTCCACTACACAATTTGGTTCTGAAGAGTCCTAGTTCTAGTATAAAACTGTACACATACACAAAGCTAAGAACACCAGTATTCAGTGTAAAACGGTGCTATGCTTACCTGTACTGTATGTATGTATATTCCTTCTTCTGCTCTTGAACTGTGCTCCTTTATCTACCCCAAAGTCAAATGTAATAATCAATATTTTGAAGCAAAATGTTTGCTCTTATTATAACCCCGCCCCCTGTCCCCTCTTGGTCAATTTGAAAAATAAAAACAGTTGCAAATATTATATGTGACACATGTCTGCTGCAATTTTGTTGTGTTTTGGTCTGTTATTAACCACACTGGTCTTTTATTAGCCCGTCTGGCAGTCAGATGGATTGTAATGAAATTTTATACAGACATTCAGTCCCCAAAGGATGACTCCTACTGACTTTGGTGAGCCCTGGTGTTTTCCTCTACCGCAACTTCTTTAGTGAAGTCCTGACAACTATTGGATGGATTGTCATGAAATTTTGAACAGATATTTGTGTTCTCCAGAAGAAGAATTGCAATGATTTCGTTGATCCCCTGACTTTTCTTCTAGCACCACGATGAAGCTAGACTCCCAAGCTCGTCTCTAAACGCTTTGATCAATTGGTAAGCACTGAGATCTCCAATTGTCTGGTATTGTGAGACTACCATGAAGTTGACATTTATGGTTTGAGTGAAATATTAGAAATATAAGTTCTGTGCAGCCATTAATGACTTACTCAGCATAATTGTACTAACGTGGTGGATTTAATCAGGTCAGATTATCAATTTAAACCATCCAAGTACTTGCAAAACTATAGTGACATTACCATTAACCTCTACATGTTAAGCTAAGATGATGAACAAGGTTAACATTATTAAACATCAGCGTGTTAACATGGTCACTGTGAGCATTTTAGCATGCTGATTAGCATTTAGCTCAAAGCACCACTGTAGCTGGTACAGCTTCTGAGAGCTGCTAGCATGGTCGTAGGCTCTTACCTGTGTTTCAAATAAGAAAATGACAGACAAAGTAAATGGACACGTTCCAATCCGGTTTTACCATCACAGGTACTTTCTTTATTATTACAAGTCAACTAACTGTATCAAAACTACACAATCCTCAAAACCAGCATTCAGAAGCTCTTTTCTGTCTGCTCTCTCCACAATAACTGTATCACAACCAAATGCATTCAGTATTTTGAAAAAAAATCTAAAGGCACATCTCTATTGTATTTACATTGCATACATGTTTGACATAAATCAAGTAAAAAGAGAACACAATCGGTCCTAAACACTTGGCCACAGTGGCTGTGCTAAAGAGACTAGACTAAAGCTAACCCTAAAATACATACAGCAATACAGCAGTCAGTCAAGTCACAGTATTCAAAGCTACAAAGCACAGGTGGGAATCAGTGTTTCTGTAACTTATGGCTTTATTTTTTATTAGGAGTTATCGCTTGCATGCCACCTTGCTATGGCTCATTTGTTAAACTCATCAAAGAGACTTCAGGTCTCTTAGTCAGAAGGTCTTTGCTGACGACGTCTCAGTATTTTTTAATCTAGTTACTCTTGCAGTAAATTAAGATTTTTAAAGTAATAGTTTAGATTTTTCTAGCTTATTTGCATTCTTGCCGAGAATTAGACGAGAAGAATGATTCCCATATCATATCTGTACAGTAAATATGAATCTGTACAATAAAAAAATGCTAGAGCCAGCGGCTAGTCAGCGTAACTTAGCATGAAAACTGGAAACAGTGGGAAACTGGTAGCTCTCGCTCTGTCCCAAGATATTAAAATCTTTCATTCAGCCCCTCTAAAGCTCGCTAGTTAACATACTGTTTGTGTAATCTGTACAACCGATGTGCTAAAATGATATGTTGTGTTTTTACGGAGGGTTGTGCGAGACCATTTCCTGGCCGGGTGCAGTGACTCCTGTGAAGTCACTGCTCACAGCCAAGAAATGGTCCCACATATACAAAACCATTAAAAACTAACTTAAACTAACGAGATAGAATGTGTTAAATAGTGAATTAGTTAGGGTTGCAACATTATGAGATTTTCATGGTATGATTAACAGTATATGATACCCAGTTATTAATAAAAAAAACAAAAAAAACAATACAGTAGAGTTCAATACGGTAGATAAGCAAATGTACACGGTATGATAACTGTATATTTCCATACTACTGTATACCATAGTATCTGCTACACTGCTGCAACCCTACTCAACTGGTAGATGGATTTTGTCACTTTTGGACACCGTTTGTCCCGTTTCCAGTCTTTATGCTAAGCTAAGCAAAACGGCTGTTGGCTTTACCTCCATATTTCACCCACAGATCACAGTGGTATCAATCTTTTAATGTAACTCTCGGCAAGAAAGCGGCATGAGTGTATTTTCCCAAAATGTCAAATGATTCCTATAAAAATGGAGACAAATCTGACACACACACACAAAAAAAAAAAAAAAAACAGTCCACTCATCACAGCAACGACTCTGCTATCTATTCCTTAGTCTACGGTCAGGTATGTACTCGTACTTGCAGTATCTGTTTTCCCCAAAGCATCTTAAATTGTAATCTACGGCTGAATGTGAGCCAAAACTCCTCCCGCTGCTGATGGGTGATGTATCTGATGGGCGGTTAGTGCTGGAGTCTGCTTTATATAGACGTGCACCTGAAATGCCTACCACAGAGATCAATACACCAATGGGGAGACTAGATAGAGGCCAATACTGAGAGCCCAGTGCAGGGTCATATATATATACAGTATCTGTGTGTGTGTGTGTGTGTGTGTGTGTGTGTGTGTGTGTGTGTGTGTGTCAGACATAGTCCAGGAAGACGTCAGCCGTGCTTTGCAGTAAAGGCTGGGTGGGGGCTGTCGTGCTGCAGACTGAGCTCAGCCTCCGTGATGGCGCCCTCTGCTGATCCGGATGACCTGGGTGGTTGCTCAGTCTCAGGTACACCTGAGGAACAACACGTCTGTAGTTAAAGTTTTGATCATACTGCTTTAAACAAATAGTATGATAATGCAAAGAGAAATGTAACAAGCCAAATCATTTTCATCTTTTATTAAAAGTTTTTTTTTTTCAAAATGTCTCTAGTGGTTTTGGTTGTTGATGTAGTTAGTTGTTAGTTAGTTGAGAAGAAACGATACTCAAATTATGAATTATTTCACTTCCATTATGTTGGGAGACTTGCAAGAGACGTATTAAAAGGAATTGGTCAATTCAACGCAGGAGAGACTGAGATATCTTGACTTTTAGTCTGTGGCAGTGGTTCCCTACCTGGGGGTCTGGACCTCCACAAGGGGCCCTGAGAGGTATCTAAGGGGTCACCAGAGGAGTACAAAAACACTTAAAAAACAAAATTATGTTTGATTTTCGATTGAATTTCTAATTATTTGCTTTTCCTTGTGACGTAAAGGTTTGCCTCTTTATGTTTCAAATAACATAATCTGAAAAGAGCAAATAACTGAAAATAATTGAAATGGTCACATTTACAATTGTAATGTGGATCATAAGTAGACATGGCTTTGTAATAAGGGGTTTACAAACAAATTATTTTGTGTGCTACTTTCTTAGTTCCCCCTTCAACGAAAAGTGTAATACAGGCTTTCAGTGGTGAATTTGTAATACCCAAACCCAGATAACTGAGATAGACGGGACGTCACATGACCAGTAAACTGAACTTGATGTGTAAAATCCTTGAGGGCATCACAGTGACCTAAAAAGCATAACCTTATAACTTCCATTGTTTCCAGTTGGGGACATTTATTGCACTCTTACTTACTTACTATTACTCTCTTACTTCCTTTGTTTCCTGTCTGTATCTATACCGTCATTCTCTAATAAAAAGTCACAAAAATAAGAAGTAACATGTCCATCATTTCATGGTTCTACCTACTTACGTTCTTGGTATTCTCTGACAGCAGGAGCTCAGTCCTCTCCACCAGTTTCCTGAAGGAAGGCCTTTTCAAAGGATCATGGTTCCAACAAGACAACATCATGTCGTACCTACATAGGTAAAACTGGGATTAGTTTCAACATGGGAGAATGTGATAGCATCTACTGTGTACAGATTTAATGATGCAGCCAGTACAAAACTAAACAAAGAAGTGGGTAAAACTAAAATCACAAATCACACTCACAATGTCTTTTTCATTACATTAACCATATTGTACCACAGTATCTTTGTCTGTATAATTTGTCACCTTTTGTGTCACATTGCACTAAAGGAAAAAAGAATCCAAAAATAGATGTTTATTCATACCATAAATCATAGTGGATTTAACATAATAATAAAAAAGAAACAGGTTGTATTTAGAGTTGCATTTACTCAATTAATCCATTATATGAAAATTAATTGGCAACTATTTTGATAATCGATTAATCATTTAAGTTTGCTGGTTTCTTCAGTGTGAGGATTTGCTGAATTTTTCAGATTTTTATATCCAGTGTTTTAGGATTTTGGACTGTTGGTCGAACAAAACGTTTAAAAAAGTATTTCATGACGTCACTTTGTCACATTTTTCAATATTTTCTGACATTTTATAGACAAAATTGTTAAATGATTAACTGAAAAAAGAATCACCAGATTAGTTGATAGTAAAATAATCATACTATAATGTTTAAATAACAATTCTCACTCTCACAGATATACACTTACATCTCGATAGGAGCAAACTCAGGCCTGCTCATCCTGTGGCCCTCTTGAATCATCCTATAAAATGCCGAACCCACCTGCATCCCCGGGTATGGGCTGTTACCTGCAACACAGACATACAATATACACAGGCTTTCAAAAATGATGTGCTATTTATTTCCAAAATCATGGATTTATATCATGATGCTAGTTTCTGGAGCTACATGGTGTGTCACAATCAATACAATTTAAGTATGATTCAACCCACTAAGTGATATTGCTTCATCATCAGAGTTGGCTCAAATAGATGAGTCTAATGGCTCAGACAATATGAAACAGATGCAACAGTACAGCTCTAACTGGAAATGTTACCCAGAGAGAAGATTTCCCAGAGCAGGATGCCGTAGGACCACACATCACTCTCAAAGGTGTAAACACAGTCAAAAATACTCTCGGGGGACATCCACTTGACTGGCAGACGAGCCTGCAGAAGGGAGAGACACCATTACAAGAGCAGTATGGACCTTGTCCCCTTGGATTCACTCTTTAAAATAAATATCTCTAAATCTAAATTTTCTATGTAGAGTGTTAAAGAATACAGCTTTTCCCTTTTTCAGAGAGCAGGCACATTTTTCTGAATACATTCTTCTAGAGCTGAATCAATAAGTCAGTTCATCAATTGATAGATTGACAGAAAAAACAGGAAGGAAAAAAGGAAGGAAGGAGGGAAGAAGGATGAGAGAATGAGACTCACATTGCCCCGGAGCACGTAGCTGGCATCAGTTGTGATGTCTCGTGCCAACCCAAAGTCACAGATCTTCGCCACCCTGCCGTGAGTCAGCAGAATGTTTCTGGCTGCAAGATCCCTGTGGATACACTGCACGCACGCACACGCACACACACACACACACACACACACACACACACACACACACACACACACACACACACACACACACACACACACACATAAGCAAACACAGAAATGAGTGCTGACACTGTTACTGGTTTCGTCAGTGAATGACTATCACACAGCACACACACACATACAAATGAGGCGAGGCGAGTTACACTTCAAGCACAAAAAAGCAAACTGAAAGCGCTTCACACGAGATATTCATGCTATATGTTTGGTGAAGAAAATAAAAAATAAACCAATTGCACTAAAAAAAGAAACAAAAGAATAATAGTCAAAGGAATAAAAGGTTTGGTATTGTTTCTGGGAAATTACAGTCTAGACGTAAGTGGATAAATAGTGCCTAACTTAATAAAAGCAACAGAAGTGCAGCAAAAGCTGAATCAGTTAAGGTGCAGGAAAACAAAAGGTTTTAAGTTGAAGCTTATTTTAGAGCCGTCTTCTATCTGTGTACAGTATAGGATCTAATGTAAATTCAGCTTCACTATGCTCTGATTGTATAGGCGATGTTAGCCGACAGCAATGCACATTATGTTGGCCCTAAGCCAATAATGTGATTTATATACTAGCAGCAGCACTTTTAAATCTCTTTTGCAACTACTCTATAAATTCAGCACACAGTCTGTAAAAGCCTTACGTTCTTGGAAGTAATGTACTCCATTCCTTTGGCCACCTGGTAAGAAAAGCTGAGGAGATCTTCGGCGTCCAGAGACAGATCTTCTATGTCATCTAGATAAACATTACATTGTCGGCTTTAGTGAATGAAACCAGGGGTTTAAGACAGGCTTTACGACAGTAGGTTTAAGTAAGGCACTGTAAAATATATTGTAATGTATGTTAATAAATACCTACCTGACTGAGAAGCCCTCTCTTTTTCAGATGGGCGCATGGGCATATATCCTGTACCAGTCACCTCTCCGCTGCAGTTACACACGCACACACACACACACACACACACACACACGCACACACACAAACACGTCGCATTACAGGTTGACAACCATTTTGTAAATGCAATCCCAATTTAAACACACACACATGCACACCTTGTAGGCTCCGGCTGGTTGGAGACGTTGCGATAGTAACCATCACCAACTTGGGAGTTTAGGAAGGGCTCTCTTTTTCTGCGCAGGAAGTTGAGGAGGTCTCCATAGCAACAGTACTCTGTGATCACCAAAATTGGGCCTGGCAAGATGCAGAGATGAAAAGAAACCTCGCTCAGTGGTTGTTAAACCATATGACAATGAAAATAACAATGAAAAAGAAACAGAACGCTTGAATAATGAGCCAAAAGAAATTGGTATTTGCAACGCTGCCTCAGTCCTGCTGATAGGAATTTGGTTCATTTGACTGTCACAAGGCAGGACACGTATAGTAAATTCAGACAGATGTGAACAATATATGTGTTTTAAAGCTTATATCAATATTTTTGTGTTGAAACATATTGAACTTATTTATGTCAATATCTTAAAATTATGATTTTTCATGCCCAACACATATAAGAAAATCTTAAGTGTTTAGAGTTTCTGTCCTAATAACATACTCATGCATACTTGTGTGGAATCCAATCCAAATGCTGCATCATAATCAATGTTGAGGGCTAGACAGGTAGATAATATTGACTGCCTGCACAGTAAATTTGTGACCAGTCAAACAGCATCACGTTTTCATATTAGAGCTGGGCGATACTGACTGTCCAATATCTGATTTTTCACAAGAGGATAATATTGGCTGGGCATAGCAGCAAGTCAGCACATGAATATATGTGTGCACTTTCTACACAACTGCTCCAAACATTACTAATTACCATAAAACAAAATCATGTGGTAAACAAATGCAAGAGGGTTACAGTGTCCAGACACAAGAAAACGGAAACAAAATTTTGCCCAGATCATCTTACATGAACATTTCCAAATGAATGAACTAAGTTTGGTGTCCGTGGTAAATCTGCTCCTCTCACCTCCAACAGTGCAGGCTCCCAGCAGGTTAACGATGTTCACGTGGTTTCCAAGGTAACTGAGAACCTTCAGCTCTGACATCAGTGCCTCCTTCTCCGTAGAATGAGCGTTGGCTGGGATGACATCATCAGCACATTTATAAACTCTTACAGTGTCTCATATGTTGCTACAACATGTCCTAAATCACTCCATATTTACTATATGGCGCACTATGTTTTGCTGTCCACAATTTTATTTGATTGTCCAAGTTGAGAATAACATTTATGCACAAATTAATTTTCACAATGTAACACAAAAAGTAGTTGGTATGGCGTGTTTACTACTCTCTAAAAACAATCACAAATGCAATGGATCATATTTGATATAATTTGGACATGTGTGTCTCTTTACTACAAAGAGTACTGTCTTTTACTGAATTATCTTTGATTGATGGTACATTCTAGAGTGTTTTTAGGAGCATTATCTGTAAATAAATGGAGTTAGATGATCGTTTTTTACCAGAAAATGCACGGGGGACTTGGGAGACCCCAGTGGAAATTACATGCTTAAAAATGTTATGACTTAAAAGTGTCAGAAAATTTCACTTTAATTAGTGTTTGGACACAGCTACAGAGAAAAACAGACTAAAACACACACTTACGTTTGAGCATCTTAACAGCAACAGTCGTAACAGTATCTGCAGAGCAGAGTCCATATGCTGTGGCCCTCACTACCTTTCCAAAAGCCCCAGAGCCCAGGGTTTTACCTGTGGGAACACACAAACAAACACACACACACACACACACACACACACACACACACACACACACACACACACACACACACACACACACACACACACACACAAACCGTTACCATTTGACAATTAATTTAAGATCTCCAAGACATGTTTTAATACATATAAAAACACTCTGCTTTGGATATCTGTTTCATAAGTTTTCATATCTCTGCTGAGTGTCAGGTTTCCAAGTCACCATGATCAGTCTAGATCTGATATCAGGGATTCATGGTCATACATACACACCTCAACTTTTTTTTAAGGTGATCATTCTGCACAGTGAAGGTCAAACATTCGAGGGAAGTCACAATAAACAAAACGGCATTATTACTTTAAGCAAAACAAACTTGGACATCGTCATACCGAAGCGTAGTTTCTGTCGAGAAAACTCCCATTTGGAGTCATATGGCAGCTGGGTGGGGTCAATATATATGTAGTTGTTACCATGGATACTCTCTATCACCTTCCACTGGATTTGGAACTTCGGTTTCTAATGTTTGGAGAGAAAAGAGGGAATTTATACAGAGAAAGTGATGTTCAATCAGCTTCCTGGTATTATTTATGTCTGACTACATGATTGTATAGCTCACGTTTTCTCATCACTCTCCTATTCAAGTTTCAGATCACTCGATGCACTTTAGTTGTCAGCCTGTGTCTAGACTATCCCCTGATGATCCCACTGTGAAATAACAAACTAGTTCTCAAGGAGTCTGACTCATCCGAGCGCAGTAAGAGCAGCACGCCATGGGGGTACATTAATGGCTCGAGGAATGATCAGAGTGTCAAAAAAGCCTTTAACTACAGCATGGCTGCACTTTGAATGGCTGATTGATTCCTTTCAAATTCATTAGGACACATTCATATTGATTAAAATGACTTTCTTCCACTCTTTTCTGCTGAATGTCGTTACCAAATGCAGCAAAAAACATACTAGTCTGATCTCAGAAAGATGCTTCTAACTTTAACTATAGTCAAGATGGAGGCATGAGTCATTGCTAAATGAAAGTGGGCCTTTTGCCAGAAACTATTGCAACCATTTATTTTCTTGGGATACAAACTAATTCATGGGACTGATGGCCATAGATTTATGTGATTTATGAGAGATTCATGACCCTACTTTCACTCAGATATTAATTTTATTTTTTCATTGCAGTAATGGCATCTGAATGTATGATTTATCTTACCTGCATGTATTTATAGAGCAGCACCACTAGAATGAGGCTGAGGAACACGCCAGTGGCCACCATACCAGTTAGAAGAGGAGTGAAGAGTTTATGGGGGACAACGCGTTCTGAGAGCAAACACACGCGAGAGTAATCAGAAATTACATGAATCACATTGAAGTATATACATTTTACACACACACACACACACACGCACACACACACACACACATTCCCTCTTCCACTGGCGTAAGAACAGACAGCTGCAGCAGTGGTTTGTTTATGTGACAAGGATTAGCAAGTCTATACCATATAATCCCCGCCTGCATAGTCAGCATTCACTAATCTCATTCAATCTGCACCCAGTAACCACACACCTGGCCTCGGCAGACACAGGGGTCTAGGGGTTTGTGTGTTTGTGTGTCTCTACTATGTTAGTGTACTAATACAGCGACTCTGTGGTATATGAGACAGCGTTGGGACGTACCGCTGATGGAGAACAGTGTGTAGGCCTCTTCCCCCTCCGTGCTCGCCACACACTCCAGGGTGTGATAGTGCGCGTGCTCCTTGTTGCTCACGTTCAGTCGGCTCTCCACCTCACTCCTACCGAAGGTCGACTCTGTCACCATGGCAACCTCCGGAGTCTCCCACTGGGTGGCATTGGGCAGGTGTGAGCACCTGTTGAGGGGTTATAAAGTTGCTTGAGGTTCTACATCAGAGCAAGTTTTAGTATTTATACTTTAATCAAAGTTTAAAATTAAAGGAGGAAATGGGGACAGTGGACTCCCAGCACATTATGTTTACGTTCCTTCACCTGTAGCAACTAATAATATTGCGAAGGTTTGGTTCAACATGTTTTCTCTCACATTTTTCTCACTTCGTTGGTGAAATTCAGCTTTTTTCTTCCCCCATCTTCTCTATCACTTCTATTTTCCTACAATGTCAAAGTTGATTCTGATTCTGATTCTGATTGTTTTCTTTCACATATTGTGGCATCACCATATCTGCCCGATGGTCTTTCTACCCGCATAACTTAAGTCCTTGGATGCAGATCCTCAGATATCATTGCAATACTTTCATTCAGTCTCTAGACTCTGGGAGGAGCATTTCTCTGTTGTTAACCTCCTTACATACTGTTACACACTTCCGGTTGATCTCTCTTTATTGAAACGGGAATTACCGTAGTGGCAATAATTTTATATGTTATCTCGAAATCACAAGCTAATTATCTCAGGATAAGAAAGTAGCTTTTCTTTAAAAAATATCTTTATCTTTAACAATATACATCTCGTTATCTCAAGAAATCATCTACTTGTTTTCCCAGGATAACAAAATGTTTTAAAATGCCCATGTTGTGTTGTCCACCAGTCAGAACCTTGTTGGCCTATTTGTCTGAATGCAAATGAGACAATGAGATGACATAAACCTGTTAACCAACTTGATCATCTCACATGAGCATCTCCTGCTCTCAGAGGAACTGCCAGACAAAACAACAGATGAGTCATGTTTCGCGAGTAAAATGATCTGGTCACACTGCTGTTCAGTTGCAGCTTTTACTATGAGCAGCATCAAGCCAAGCAGTCCCAAGTTGTTAATTATGTATTGATAGCAAAACAGAAAACAATTTCTTCTTTATAGATCTTATATTATTGTTTAAATTACAAAATTGACATGAATATAAACCAAAAAAGGTGAGAAGCAGCCAAACTGAACTGAAGTGGTTCAGATATCATCAGTGTGATCATTCATGATGTCATTCAATGATGTATCATAGTAACTGCTTATTTTGACCCATTTATATAGACAGCTCTTACATCATCACTTGCTACAACTCTTGCTACTTTCAGCAGATCACATCTTGTGTGTGAATAATGACAGACACCCATCAATCTCCATTAATAGATTACAGCCAGTGCTGCTGGTGGAACTGAGAGCTAAAACATTAAAGATGTCAAAAGTTCACATCCAGCTTGCGTTAATACAGTAGTATCGTCATCTATCCAGTCTTATTCCAACTTAAGCAATGTAATGAAGTAAATACAGTAAAATATACACTCTTTTGATGAAAGTAGTACAATATATTTTAGACAAACCTTGTGTGGGGCAGCTTACAGAAGTACCAGCTGATTTTAGGCACTGGGTAACCAGCAGCAATGCACCGCACCTGTCCATCAACAGGCCCTTCCAGGGCAATGATAACCGGCTTGCCTGGAAGGGAGCAAGTTGAGGGTAAATAGGGAAGACAAATATTTAACATTCTACAGTATGTGTATGTTAAATATGTTCAAAATCTGTTTATTTTCATGTTAAAGTCAACCTCCAGTTAGAAATATGTGTTTCTTCATACAGTTGGATGTTTGATCTTCACTGTGCGGAATGATGTCTGTTCTGAGTTTGACACTAGAAGGATGTTTTCACATTCATCAGCTGGAAGTGGAAAGTTTCTCTGAGCTAATTGAAAATCAGATTGTAAGGGGCGGGGCCTACGAGCATGATTTGTGACATCACAAAAAGTTTGTGATGTCAATCCTCGCCCATTATACATTTTATATAAGTGTGATGTAGAAACATGAAGCCACCAGTGCACAAACACTGAGAACAGACTTTACAGTGAGAGTATTATTTGCATATATGTCGTAATTCATGTCGGGGGGATCGTTAACAATCACCTGGACAACTCGGGAATAATGGGCCTCATGGAAGAACATTTTTGTATTATCTTCACTTTCTCTTCACTTCTAACTTCAGATTTCTGTGTAAATCATCTGATGAATGATGAATTCCACCTGAAAATGTGTATAACTAATGCCCCAATTGTACTATATAAGGCTACACGGCCTGCCCCATGTGTGAAGAAGTTCATTCATTAGAAAAATTATATGGAAGAGTAAAAAAGTTTGAACTCTTGGACAAAAATAAAGGAAAGTATATCATTTTTACCAGCATCAGCAGTGGAAGTAAAGGACCTGCTAAACCCAAAGAGTGAGAAAAAATAATGAGTGCTGTTAACGCCGTGTCATCCAAGGGTCATATTGTTGCTTGATTCAAGAAGTTTGAAGTGGTTTGATATGAAAAGCAAGGTGATTGATGACCGCAACTGGAGGAAGAAGTCTCCATTAGATGAAAGAATATGTGCCATAATATGTGATGTTAAATTGTCAGGGACTGCAACAAATGATGTTCCCCTGGACAGCAACTTGCATACACCTTAATGTAAAGAGAACCCTAACCCCATCAATGATGATATTGTTAGGCTATGTGATAAATTTAGATCTAGGCAATATTATAATTCGTATTGTACAGTCAAACAGGATGATGTCAACGTAGTTATGAAGTGTAATTTACATAAGAAAATCTAAATTTCTTTAAAGTAATGCAACAGACATTCCTTTGGTAAGTGACAGCAGACTAATTGCATATGACTCCCCTGGTCTGGACCACTCGTAAACTGTGTTCGTGCCGAAGAGAAAATTCAAAATAAGAGAAATTTGATGAATGTCGCAAGTTCAGTTGTACAAGCCATTTAGGAACAAATACATTTGTACGTTCTTGCATAAGACCCATTGTGTTCTAAATATATAAAGCAATGTAACAACTGTGAGAGCTACTTACTATTGACGTACACATGGAACGAATGATCGACAGATGCATCTTCATGACTGGCTGAGAACTTATAGATCCCGCCCTCTGAGCCGAGAACCCTGACTAGTCTGAGCTCGCTGATGTATCTAATAAAACAAAGGTACATTTTAAAGTCTGTGTGTGTACATGCATATGCACTTGCAGCTGATATACTGTTAACTCACTGTACCTGTATTTGCGGCGGTGGATAGTGATAACGTGCTCTGTGGTGTTGAGGAGCTGTTTGCTGTTGTAAGACCAGGACAGGGAGCTGGGTGCAGGATAGGCAACAAATTCTACTCTGAGGCTCAGGCTGTCCCCCTCTTTAACATCAGCCTGGACAGGACCTGGGCTTCCTAAAATGGTAATGAAGCCCCGCTCTGTAGAACAACAGAAAGGTGCATAGTTAAAGAAACGGAGACATCTACATATTAATTTTCATAATATACAATTGAGAGATCCTAAAAAGAAAAGTCCTGAAAAATACGTAGTTTTAGGAGTAAATATTGTGAAGGAGGGGTGGTGGTCCTATCTCCCGACACACCATCATCAGCACTTACCACGGACATCCAGTAGTAGCGCTGTGGCACCGGTGCCTCTCTCGTTGAGGGCGTAGCAGCGGTAAGAGCCCGAGTCTGTTTCGTTAACGGCTGTGATCAAGAGTGAGGTGGAACGCCGATAACCACGGGAACCGGACAGGATGTGTGAGGTGTGGGATTCATCAGGATTCTGTAGGGCATCAGGGGCAAATAGGCATATTTATTCATTTAACTCATCAATTATATTTTCTATTAAATGTATCTCCTAAAATGCTGTTTCAAAGACAGGCATATTATTATTTGCTGTTTAATTTTACTGCAAGAAAATATCAGAATCAGTCTTACAAACCCCAACATGTGTACTATGTGTGTAATGGTGAAATGTAAACTCCTCTTCAGGTCATTATACCCCCCAAATTCCCAGAAATATTACTAAGGATATGAGCTCAGTGTCCTCTATGACCCCAGGGGCTACATGAAGAGATTGTAGAGTAGCTCAACAAATAAGAAAAAATATTTCAATATTTAATTAACAATTTGAATAAAAAAATAAATCCCCATATGAGTTAGCTGTAACAATGGGTGTTTTTGCAAATAAGAGTGCATAAAAACTATAGCAAGTGAGCAGAGGGGATCAAACAATTAGCTAAAAGTAATAGATAAATAATTGAAATAATTAGCTAAAAGTAATGGATATATAGCTGTTCAGCTTTTGCCACTCCATCTTACTAATTCAGCAAATGAATTCAAATGTTCCCATTGGGAACATAAATGGTGGTATTGATGAAGGGGTATTTGAGTTCATCGGACTGTGCTGTGGGGGTACGTCTTACAAAAAAGGTTGGGAAGCACTACTCTACATCGCTAAAAAAACTCTGGTCTAAATATATTAAATATTTATTCTTGCATTGGTAAGAGTACATCTACTGTCCTTCCAGTCAATGTCAATCTCACCGCTGTTGAAGGGAAATCCCACTTGAGACTGAAGTCCGGGTTGACGTTGGAGGAGCTGCAGGTAATCTCAAACTGCTCTCCTTTCCTCAGGATAATGGTGTCTTTCTGAGACAATGAGACCACTGGAGGCACCTCTGGCACTGGATCAAGATATTCAAAAGCAACATTATCATGACAGATAACTGATAAGTTAATTTACAAAAGCACAAAAGAACGTCTATGCCTTTCTATTTATTCTCATGGCATTTCCTCCTAAAAAGGAGTCACAGAGACACTTGAGTCACTTAGGTCAGAACCTTTGCACAGCTCACTATTAGTTGCATGTTATTTATAATGTGAAATCATCCTACTGTAGGATATACAACAATCACTCTGGACTGTGTTACATGTCTAAATCATGAATCTATATGCATGTTAACAACAGTGTTCCTCCTGAAAATATTTTGACACTATAATGAAAACATGACAAATAAGTATCTTATCTGTGTCCGATCATAAAAGACCTTTCAGGGTGTGTTAAATACTGTTTGTTCAGTTGCAGGGAATTCTTTAGTAAACAAGCACAAACTAACGACTATGCACACAGGCACAGTATTTGCTGTGCAGACATGTATGAATCAAATGATTAATTCCCAACATTAAACGCCTGATGCTGACGTCACTTCAGTGGCTGTGTTTGACAAGACTGCAGTAATTCTATTTATCCAAACATTGCCTTCATGCATCGTTACAAAGCTTTGTTCAGTGTGGGACTCTAATCCTTCTGCTCCTCCCTCCCTCACGTCCCTCACTCCCTCTCTCCATCAGTCTAAAGGACACAACGCCCCAGCAGCTCCTCCCAGCTTGTCTCTGTTTAGACTCCTTTCCACTGAAAATGCTGATGCACGGACAAACAGAAACATGATCAGTTTCCACTGACGTACCCATAAAATACTTTTCGGTACATTTCCTATTAGCTCATGACAAAAACTATGAGCTAAACTTATTTCGCCAAAACACATCTGCATTGTGGACAGTCTAAGGAGGTTTATTGCTCAGTTCATTGCTGTAACTGACCTCTGCCACGATGCATTATGGTCTTCTCGATACAGGATTAATAACATTGCTAGCAACTCTAGGAATGGCAATGTTGGTCTACCTATCACCTTGGTCCATCCTGAAGTATCTCAACAAGTATTTGATGGATTGCTGTACAGTAATAATGATCCAAAGAGGATGAATCCTACGGAAGCCCTAAAGGGGCATGCATTCATATATTTTATTTCCTCCGTTTTCCTGTGATAACGAGTTAATTTTCTGGAGATCTCGAGATAACGAAACTTTGTTTTCCAGAGATAACGATATAATTAATTCGAGATCTCGAGATAACGACTGTGATATGATAACTGCGGTCAAGCCAGCCGTTACTCCGATCTCCGTGGTCAAATCAGCCGCACAAATTTAGAGCGTATTCACTTCCGGTTTTCAAAATAAAGGTATTAAGAACAGTAAGCTATAATAATTCGAACCTACATTTAAAATAAAATATGTTACATTAAAGTGTTTCATGCACCCATGATGAATAAAAAACATACTTAATATCAAGCATTTCTACTGCACCAACCCTTCTTACGCCAAACAAGCACAAGTGAGGATGTGGGTAGCAACAACTTTACTTTGTATTTACTCTCCTGCTTACTTCAACAAGTATTGGGACATTTGCATTATGGTTCCCTCAAGACATTAGCAAAGACAAATAATTTCCTTCCACTGACAGCAGACAGATGCTTTAAGGCTGAAAAGGTTGGCTACAAGAGGAATAGCTTAACTTGTAGATATGTCCTACTTTTACTTCAAATGTTTTCTGTAGAGATGACAGGAGACTCTCCCTTGCTTATTTCCTGTCAAGAGCTGCACATACAGCATTCACTCTATCCCTCGTGCATGCACAACCATTAAAAACTGGTATGAAACCCTTTAAACGACATGAATTCTAGTTTCTGGAAACAACAATATTACACATCGCCCTTATCCATCACATCTCTCACTTACCAAGTCGTACATCCACAGTGTATTGGCTCGACGTCACTTTGACTCCGCCAAGCAGTCCCACACATACATAACAGCCCTCATATTCCTTCCTCACATTGCCGATGATGACGCCTCGCTGGGGGTTGCTGCGGTAACTCATACCAGAGGGCAAAGGTCGTCCATCGCAGGTCTCCAATGCCAGGAGGTTTACCTCGGGGTCGGTCACAAGACAGGGGATGGTGCAGTTCTCACCTGCACGCACCAGGATGACGTTCACCATGGTGCGCTGGAAAGCATTCTGGGTGTCTGAGGAGATGAAAGAGAAAAGGAGATTTGGATTGATAGATGTTATTAGACGGACACACGTGTAATCACATGCCTGCCCCACCTCGAACACCCACCTTTCACATATACATAGATGGAGCTGTGTTCCAGTGTGTTGTTGTTGACACACACGTAACGTCCCATGTGGTAGGCCTGCGCTGCTGACACCTTGACATAAGCCACTCCGCCGTCCTCCACCTCTCCCTCCAGCCTGCGAGCCCTCTCCCTCTGCCACCTCAACCTGGACGGGGTGCCAGACGTCGTGGCACTGTCATGGCAACGCAGCTCCAGCTTCCCCCTCTTGGGAACCACTACGTGAGGCCCGCTGGGGGAGATGACTGGCTCGCACCACACTGGAATAGAGGTGGAATAATATGGTTGACGTATGCTAGACCACCTGGATACTATTTTTAAAGGCTGTGAAGGATTCAGTTTGGGTAAATCCTGCACAGAAGGGAAAAACCTGCTGATGCTGATGAATTACTAGCTCTATGAGGAATAGCAGGAAAGAGATGGAAATCAATAAAAGCAAATAGCAGTGTAGAAGGGCTCCAACACTCCAAAACCTAAAGATATTAGCACATAAGACAAAGAAACAAGTCCTCACAATTGAAAAACTGTAACAAAACAGTGTTAAAAAATTACTGAAACGATAAATCAACTTTATAAATAGTTGTTTTTCTTTCAAACGATTATTCGACTATCCATTTGAGCTCTGCAGGGTAGAATATAGAATAGAGTCCATAAATTGATGTTAAATAGGATGTTATGATTGGCACAGAGCCCCTTTAAGATAGAGTGCTGTCAAACCACCATGGCTCAGTTGAACAATCAATAATTATGAGCTGTTACCCGCTGAGTAATCATGCATTAAGGCCCCTAAATCCATACCCTTAAGATGAGTAAACTAAACTAACATTTTCTTCTCAGTTTAACCCCCACTAGCTACCCCCTTCCAAGTTTTCTGTTCTTTCCCTTTTTTTGTTGCTGCACATTTCCACATGATAGGCACCATTTCAAGAACAAGATTTTCATGTGACTGTTGTGCCTTCAGGCTTGACTGAGAAAGCAAGAAGACATGTGGATTCAACTAGGCTCCCCCTTCTAAAATATCTGTCTTTTTTGGCAAGGCTGTAAGTGCATCTTTTACTGCTGCTCTCTGTACATATTTGTGCTTTACAGTTGTTCCTGTGTTATCTGAGTAACCAAAAGGTTTCACACAAATCCTGAGGCTGTTGTATGACCAAACACAAAGCATTCATCACAGCAGTCAGTGCGGTTAAGATGTCAAGATGCTGCTGGGTGTGTGAAAAGATGCGTGTTTTCTTTGTTCCTCCTGTTGCAGTGCTAAGGCACACAACCTAATCCCCTTTTATTTCGGTATGATGAATAATTTATCATCCTCAAACAGTGGTCGAAACACACACACACACACACACACACACACACACACACCTGTTGCCTGCCGGGAAAGGCAAACCAATGGTATCTCCTACCTATGCAAATGAGTACTGATATGATCTGTGAACTTGAGCTGGCAGGTTGCCCACACTGTACCGTTAAACAGCACTTCATGTAAACGTCAACCACGTTACTAAGCATGCGCAATGCTTTTTTCGGCTGTTCACACCTGAGTTAGTCTGGCGCAAAAAGACCTTGAATAGTGACACTAACAAAGCAGGGACAATCGTTTTGAGACAGAACAACAAGTCAGTCATCCGAAAAAGACACAATATCCAAATATAGATTTTGCAGTAATATCACTAATAAACGCTAACAGTATGACCAATAATAAACTCTCCACTAAAGGCATCTCATGTCTCTAGGAATATGATAGCATTAAGACATAGGCTAATAATTTATTTAACTACTGCTGGGTAAAGGGATAAAGTCACTATAAAGTCATTATAGAGAACACAGACACACCGGGAGCCGCTGTAGACACGTTAAAGCAATATTTCAATGGTTTCTGTAAGGTTGGACTTGTTTTCTTACCTGTCAGTGACAGCAAAATAAGATGTGAGGCAAAAACAACCCAGTGGCATCTCATGATTAGGCGGTTTGCAAGCCTTTTACTCTACTCCATACGTTTCAAGTGCGGGAATAACCATCGTGAGCTTAAAAACAACACCAGATCCCATCCACCGCAACAACACACGGAGCCGGTCCCTCCACCGTAATGACCGCACAAACACACAATGATCCGGTAGGCTGCGACTGCATCTGATGGATTTCACTAGAGCTTAAAGACACAGTGCAGCGCCTCTCCTCCCTGCCCTGGATCCCTGCCACTCCTTTCTATCCCGCATTGGCTGGAGGCTGGCCAAGGTGATGAGTCGGTTATTACCGGAGCAATCTTCATCGTTTCTTACACAGTCATTGCGACAAAATAACAACAAAAAATAATGCCAAGAAATTCTCCAATAACGGAAGTGCTGATTAAACAAAACACAAAGGAATGAGCGCTCTTGCTCAATAGGATGGCTGTAAATGTTAATCACTGACAGGCAGGAGTTTCCCCTGCAGAAAACCCTTTCAGTTTGTGATGCACTTCCTTGTCTCACGTTTCTCAGCTCTTATCAGCATTATCTGTCTCACTTTTCACCTCTCATGGGCCAGACTACACATTTTCAAGACCCACCACTAAGGCCTATCTGCACCTCAACAATAATTATATCAGATATCTATCAGTCATTACCCAGACTTTAACCTGTTCAATACATGGTTTGGACACTGTAATTCTTATGGAAAGTGAGCTTAAAGCTCTTCACTATTATTTGTTATAACCCCCAAAAGTTGTTATAATGTATCATTTGGTGCTCCTCAAAAAACATTGTCAGGTAAATTAGGTTGTTGCAAGAGACCAACAGTCTGGACTGTAGCCTAACTAAATGTATTTACTTAAATCTAACAAAACAGTTTTCAGAGAAGCATTTTAAGTTTATTTTCAGGGCCTTGTTGTGACTAAGAGGCCCTGAGAAGCCTTCTAATTTGCTTTATGACTTGCCTCTGTATGTTTGTGGTCTATGCAAGGTTCTGTTAGTCTTTTTTGGCATTTAACTTTTATTGACAGGACAGGGAAGAGAGACAGGGCGTTAGGGGGGGAAGGAGGGCGGTGATATGCAGCAAAGGGCCTCAGGTCGGGCCTCTGCGGTAAGGACCCTGTCTTGACACATTGTGAGCTACCCGGACGCCCGTTTTCTGTCAGTTTTGTGTGTTTATCTTTTGATCTGTGCGTGTGTGTGTGTGTGTTTCCTGCTGCTCTAGAGGAATATGTAAGAGGACAATGGGGAGGTTGTGTTTTTTTTCTTACACACATGATTCATTTCTAACCTCACTGCATTGCCCCGATGTTGTTTATGCCTTTCTCAGCACATGATGAAAGGACGAGGCTAAACAAACTAGAACACAAGCAGAACATCACGTTAATTGATTTTTTTACTTGATAAATTTGTTTGTTTTTCCAGTATAATTTTCTGGTAAAAAATTTACTTGTAATGGTTCTATGGTTTTTTTCTATCACCAGGAAAATAACTGTGGGGAATCTAACTTCTGTACGCACACACACACACATTCAGACTAGGACATTTGGACAGTTTTTCTTCCTGTCTATTCAGAGACGACCAACTGCTCTTTAACAAAGATAAACAGAAGCACAGTCCGGTTGGTGATATAGTGATATAGCATCGTTCTTCCAAGGAAATAATGCAAATTAGACTGTTTTGTGGCGGCAGTCTGAAACTGGGATTATGATCAAATAATCTGCGACGTGCATCCTTTGGACAGTGATGACGGTAGAGGGGGGGGAGGAGGGTTTTTACTGAGAAGACCGGGGTAAGAGAGGGCAGCCCAACCATGTGCTTGAGAAAGATGTTTTTGTAGACGGTGATGCCTCAGAGGGGTATTTTATATTTGCACCACAAAAAGTTTTGTTGTTTCTCACCGAACATTGGGTCAACTTCACAATCTGGTCGCACATCTGACACAAAGGAAGGACATGCAGCCTGAAAGCTTACCCCAAACATTCATCACACATGTCTTGGTCTCAGTAAAAATTAAAGGAATAGTTCAACATTTTGGGAAATTGGTGTATTCAGGTTCTTTGCCTCTATCTCAGAAGAACAAAATCTGCCTAGCAGCACCTCTAAAACTCACTAATTAACACGTTGTATCTCAATTGTTTGAACCATACAAAAAACAAAGTGTAGAAAGGGCAATTTGCAGTTTCACAGGGGGGTTATGACTATTTCTTGATTGGGACCAATAACCTTCTGGAGTCTTCGCTGATTGCCTGGCAACTGCTCAAAGCCAGGAAATAATAACTACCCCATAAAACGGCTAATTACTTGTGTTTGTGTACAAATTAAACAAATGAGGCGTGACGTGTTTATTAGTGAGCTTTAGAGGTGCTGGATTGTGTTACCTTTCGAACAGAGATATGGGAGCTCAGTCGTTTTTAATCTCCACTGAACAAAGGCTAATCCAATTCAATATCTTGCACAGAACATAGTAAAAGAAATAAAAAATGTATAATAACATCTGTAGGCCAGAAATGATGAATGCAGATCTTTTACATGTGATCTGGCGTTGCCCAATGATTGCATAGTTCTGGAAATATGTTATTAAAACAACCTCAGAAATAATATAAAAGCATATTCCACATGATCCTAAAGTCTGGATCCTAGGTGACTTTGACTGTTTTAAAGGAAAGAACATTTTGTGATGTTTTTGAGTACTACAGTTTGTTTTTATTCCCCTCTTATCATCTTATTGCCTTTATTTTCATCAATAAAAAGAGCATTATAAAAAAAAGGTATGCTAGCTGTCCCTTCTTCTTCCTGCCGGATGAGGCCTTATTTAACAGATGGACATTTAGAGTGTTATCACCCCTCTTATCTGACTTCTGTGACCAAAAGTGACTAAACCCATTTCCCAAAACTTTTCCTTCAATGACAGATTAACTTTTTTTAAGTCCAGCTGGAGACCTTCTGCTGAATAATCTGCCATTAGACAAAGGAAAACCTGCACCTCAGGGTGTCAAAGTACAATCCACCTGTTCACAAGCCCATAGTCCGGCTGCCCATATGTTGTATGAAGATGTCACTGAGTGTTTTTGTGTATGAGTGTGTGTGTCCATCAGGATCATCCATATGTCTAACTGTCCACTGAGTTCACATGTCATTTGAGCAGTTTATATGCCTTTCCCTATTACATTATTCATCATTGAGGTGAGCGTCTATAGCAGATCTTGGCTGACTCACTATGACTTTGTGTGTGTGTGTGTGTGTGTGGACCCACAGCATGACTCACTCAGTGCTTTTAGACAGATGAGGACAGCGGTCTCACAGAGGGCAACAGAGGTTTTATACAAGAAAAATAGCCACTTAGATTAGATTACGTAATGAAAAACATTCCTCTCTCTCTCTCCTCGTACTGTCTCTCTCATTCTCTTTCACCTTCCCCCCTTCTCCCCTCTCTCTCCTTGGCTCTCTTCTCCCTCTGTCCTTTCTCCTTTTTAGTGACGCACACACACACACATCCTAACTCAATCACCCTACAAATGGAGCTATCTTCACACCCTCAGGCAGGCACATACGCACACCTTCGCCTGTTTGCACAAAACCACGCAGGAAAACACACACTTGGACACAGAGAGATTTCAACTCAAAGAATACCTCATCGTTTCTCTGTTCAATGATTGGCCAGAAGCTCAATAACGTAGCATAACCTTTTTTTCTAATGCAATCCAACACTGTTCTCTGTCTGCTGACTGGACATTATAAACCTGATATCGGTGTCCATTTGTCTCCTTTAATACAGTCAATGCAATGGAGTTTTTTTTTTTTTACCCACTCTGTGTGGTTGTTAAGTGTCCATCCATGGTTGAATTGTGGTGTTTCACATATCAATTATGACCCATCGAACAGATCGGACTAAGAGGTGGGTCAAAAAAATAAAGAACATTTCCTCAGAGAAGCAAGGTAAGGCCTTGGAAGTACTTTGATTGCATCTTGTGATGTATGTTGCAGTTCAGAGCTCACATTTTCCTGACTTGCAACTTTGAAGGAATAGTTCGATATTTTGTAAAATATGCTTATCCGCTTTCTTGGACGTAGTTGGACGATTGATACCTCAATGTCAGTCTATTTTTGTAATCTGTACAAAACCTGAAGTACAAAAAAGACAATTTGACGTATTTGGACGGTTAAATGCTGGATTATTTCTTAGACAGCAACAGTGACTTCCTGGAGTCTTCACTGGTTGCCTGGCAACCGCCGAAAGCCAAGAAATACTCATTTAACCGCTGTAAAACCATTAAGTTGATGTTTTTACGCTTCGGTTCTTGTACAAATACAAACAGGGTATAATCTGTTGATTGGTTCGCTTTACAGGTGCTGGAACCTGTTACCTTTGGACTAAGCCATGCCTTCTGTTTCCAGTCCTTGTGCTCAACTAAGATAAGTGGTTGTTGCCTGTTGCTTAATATTTACTGTAAAAACATGAAAGTGGTATCAGTCTTCTCATCTAGCTCTCCAACTGAAAAATGTTCCCAAGAACTTTTGCCTGAAGCAATAAGATAGAGGGAAATTATGCAGCTGTGCACATTGTTGTTTTGCAATGAATTTCTGATGCCAAGTGTCAGAGCAAAATAAATTATATCTAATCTCAAATCTTAATTGCACATCAGTAGAAAAAATTACAGTTTGTCTAATCACATTTGCAACAATTATCTCATATTCTGAGGCTTTAGCTTGAGACAAATCTGCATTTACTTCTACAACAGATGGATCTTTGTATTAGAAAACAAAAGAGTAGAAACGGCCACGTTAAGCTGTCACGTATGGCATCACACTGTTGAAATACCATATGTTTGATCCAAAGAGATGATGTGGATTGAAAATGTGCCAGGGCACATATCTGAGTAAGCTAATATCAGCGTGTGTAATTACTGATAGCCCAATGATCGCCCTCTGTCTGGATAAACCTGATTAGCATCGACTAGGCTTTAAACCGCTCTAATCCACCGTAAGGAGAGAAGGATGGACACGGGGGGAGGAAGCACGGAGCCAACAAGAGACACAGAGAGAAATGGGATGATACAGAGGGTGAAGGGGAAAGGAATGAGAAAAAGGAAAAGAGGAGAGGATGGAGAGCAGAGAGGATAGGGATGGAAAACAAGAGGAGGGAGGAAGAGGAGGAACAGGTCATGGAAGTGAAGAGAAGCAGCAAATTATGTCAGAGCAGTTCACAGCCTGAGGGAAAACCAGAAGAGCAACACATGAAACTGAACTTCAATGTCTGCCTCCTCTTCTCAGTTTTATTTCAGCATTTTTTTAATGGTTGTCGGCATTCCCATTACATTCAGTACTGTATTGTGCGGTTCTCTTGTATTGGACACTCATTTGCCAGTTTATTAGGTACCCCTAAAGTAACTGATGCAGTGTAATACAACAGTCCTGCAGTAAACC